CAAGTCTTTCACTTTCCAAAGTATGAAATTTGATCTCCAAACTTTGCATCCAATTGCCAATTTAGTCTGTGTACTTTGGATCTTTCCATTTTTTTCACTATTTTGCATTCTTTTCTCAAATTCTTCATCAAACATAAGATTTTACCTATAAAATGCAATCCCAAAAGAAGAATAGTCCCTCTATATAGGGAAGAAATTACAATTAGTAGTCGCATTAATCATTCCTAAGTAAAGCTGTTGATCTCGAATCACGTGTCACTTGTCACATCATGGCGTTTGATTGGTGGGTCAAAATGATGATGGTGGCTTAATGATAGGTTTGCTTGTAATGACAGGGCGATGGTGGAGGTGATAGTGGAGTAAATCAGTATCTTTTTATGTGGCTTAACAAGTCAAGAATCATCATTTTCACTTCGATCATGGAAACCTATGTTATCTCATTAAGTATTGAGAATTCAAAAATCGCCTTAGAGAAGGAAAGTGACAATCATGCATCAAGTTATTTAGCCTCAAAGTTATGTCGGCGATAAGTTGGGATGTTCCTAATCGCTATAGAGAGCAGTTAGATGGTATTCTAGCTTAGTTGACGGTATGTGACTAGGCAATAGCTCATAACATGGATATCCCCAATTTGAATATAGCCTAATACTTATTTCATGTTTCATCAAAATAGACCAAATGAAAGAGAGAGCACCATTAATAACGTCTATAATTGATCTAGTCAAAATTCCAACAAGATCTTCAATAATTAAAGTTTCAGAGCATGTATCCTTGTAATATTTCTCAGCATAGTCGCATAGGTCTTGTCAAAGTTTCGAGAATGTTCTTGCTTGTAATCTTTGAGGTTATATTTGGTGCACGGTATAATATTGAATAATTCACAGTTTGGGAAAATATACCCAGATTGATTTATTACTGGATAATCTTACTATACGTTCTACGATCAATAAATTAATCCCAACTTACACCCAACAAAACGATGAGTTTACATCATATTAAAACTTGTTACTTTTATTTGCATGGAACATTTACAAAACTATGCAATTTGGCATAGGCCAGTCCAAATTTTGGGAGCCTTAGGCCATCTTCAAATATGAGCCCCTGTAAATATTTAAAATATATGTATAATAGTAAATCAACAATTATCCTTATTACAATCAATCTGTTTTAGAACTTAATTTTCAATATGCACAATGGCCAATTCATTTCTTGTTGTTGACCGAATGTATGATTTTATCAACTTCAACTTTGAGAAGCCCCTATCGACGAATGCAATAGTAACTGATATAGTCAATAATATTCTATATGTAGTCTACACATTTGGGAAACAATGGTCCATTTTATGTAGTCTAACAGTTCAATCACATTTTTGGTCTTTTCTAACGGAAAATTTCTAACAATCTGCAGCTCAAAAAAACAACTCCCGCCCTTCAATATTTGAATTTTTGTCATACCTAAAAAATTATTCAAGTTGATCACAGCAACACTTCAAACAATTACCTTATGCAATCCGCAATTTTTTTAAATCGAATAGAAACTTGAAAGTATTATCTTATTTTTTAAATTATTCAAACATTAACCTCAGCGAAGAAATAGGTTGACCAATATATAAGAAATAATCGATTCTTAAATATTCTTCGACTGAATGTATTATCTCATTCTTAACATTTTTATCAAAGTGTTTATTTATGAAAAATAAGCTTTTCATGAAAAGTAAGTTCGACTTCCATTTTAGCAACAATTTTTTTAGCACTAATCTTGTCCGATTAAAATTCAATTTTTCTATATGGTTTAGAAAAACGAAATAAGTGATTTTAAGTGACAAATAATAACATCAATGTCTAGTTCTTACTTTGCAACATTTTGTTTACTTTATTAATGACGGACAATATATTGTATAAAACAACAATATCAAACAAGAATTCAAAATTCATAATGCATAAGATAAACTTTTTGCGTCACGTCTTTCCATCAAGTATTTTAAAGCAACCTTTATTTTTTGAAATTTGAAACTTGGAAGAATATTACTAGATTATTTATATTCTAACTTATTAAACATTAAATATTTGTAAAACTTGACTGAAAAAATTTCAAGTAAACTATAAAAAGTACTGCCAAGTCAATTTGTCCATCATTTGTCTACTTTTGAGCATGTTTCATTCATCACAGACCGTTTGAAATAGGCTACATAAATAGGCTAAAAAGAATAGGTTCAAAAACAAGGGGGACACATGTCAATACATGATTGAACAATTTGAAAAATTAAAATAAAATAAAAATACCGAAACATGTACTATCAAGTCAGTCTGTCCATCATTTCTCTATTTTTGAGCCTGTTAAATTATCATTATTCATTCATCATAGACTGTTAAGTTCACATCATATGTTTAACAAATGCAACACATTTTAATTGTATTGAAAGTCTCTAATCTTTATTCGGTGTTTCATTCATGCCCGTAACCTTTTTTTTATCACATTTTTACCCTTACATTTTATTAATTAGCAAAAATTACCCCATAGTTCTAGTTAACGTGCTTTAACAGAAGGAACAAATATTTAGTCATAATTTTCTTTTCTAATTTAACGTGACAACCATTAATTTATTTTATGATTTATTATATGATCATTTCTAATAACACATTCACACAATAATCAATGCAAAAAAGGCATAAAATTTGCTAACTATGTGGTGGATTTGTGAGAAAAATCATGTAATTGTAGATTGGATTGCACCTTTATGGGGAGTGAAACATTAGAAAAGAAGTCTGATACAACAAAATGTGAGGTTTTTCAGAATCTAAAATTTTTAGGTTTGTTTTGCAAATTTCGATTTGCACAGAGAGAGAATTCTATTGTGGAAGAAGAAGGAGATGTAGATTTGAGGTGATTAGAGCGGTGGCGTTTTCCGGTGTGGGACGGCGGTGGCCGACAATGGTCCGATGATTTTGGGTTTTCATTTGATTTGATTTGGGTTGGGGTGGGTTATTTTCTCTCTCATTTTCTTTTTGATTCATTTTCTGCTGTCTCGAGGTCGAGCCAGTGAGCACTTCAGAGCGAAATTCGTTTTGATTGAGGTCAAATTGGGGTAGACCCATGGCTGGGCTATATGCACCAGGTGAGGGCGCACCCAACCCAGGTGGTGCGCCACCATGGTTCATCAGAACGGCGCCGGAATTCGTGTTCCCCACCGCGTTGTCGCGACCTTCGCGACTGACATTTTTCTGGAAAAATTCGAGCTGTGAGTTGTTGTTTGGGATGAATTGAATCTATGGTTGAGGTCATCTATGTGTGGGCTTTCTATTAGTGGTGAGATCCGGTTATGGGGGTGACCGAAGGTGGTGTTTCCGGCGTTTTTCAGATTTTTTGGCACCCAAATTTGAGCTTCAATTCCGATCAGATTACTTGATGAAATTGGGAGGGATTTGTTGGTAATTGATGGGGGGATTAAAGGCTTTCCAATGGTATTCAAATCCGGGGGTTTGGGTGGTCGGAAGTCATCGAAATTTTGGTATATTTTTACTGTTAGAGATGCGGCTGAGAGAGGGAATTGCACTTCAGACCCTCCAATTTCAAAAAGATCCTTAATTTTGCTTAGTTACCATTTTTGAAAGTGATTGTAAGTTGAGTGACCGTTTATGCAAGTTTCGAACTTCAGTGACCATTTTGGAATTTTGCTGTAACTTCAGTGACCATTTGTGAAATTAACCCTATGTTTAACAAATGCAACACATCTTAATCGTATTGAAAGTCTCTAATCTTTATTCAGTGTTCCATTTATGCCCGTAACTTTTTTTTATCACATTTTTACCCTTACATTTTATTAATTAGCAAAAATTACCCCATAGTTCTAGTTAACGTGCTTTAACAGAAGGAACAAATATTTAGTCATAATTTTCTTTTCTTATTTAACGCGACAACCATTAATTTATTTTATGGTTTATTATATGATCATTTCTATTAACACATTCACACAATAATCAATGCAAAAAAGGCATAAAATTTGCTGACTATCTGGTGGATTTGTGAGAAAAATCATGTAATTGTAGATTGGAATATTGGATTGCACCTTTATGGGAAGTGAAACATTAGAAAAGAAGTCTGATACAACAAATTGTGAGGTTTTTTAGAATCTAAAATTTTTAGGTTTGTTTTGCAAATTTCGATTTACACAGAGAGAATTCTATTGTGGAAGAAGGAGATGTAGATTTGAGGTGATTAGAGCGGTGGCGTTTTCCGGTGTGGGATGGCGGTGGCCGACAATGGTCCTATGATTTTGTGGTTTTCATTTGATTTGATTTGGGGTGGGGTGGGGTGGGGTATTTTCTCTCTCATTTTCTTTTTGGTTTTTTTATTTATGTTTTTAACTTATTTTATATCTAAAATGTAAAGTTACTATCTTACCCTTTTAAAATTGATTTACATTTGGTCAATATCAAAATTTTTGGTCAACTAATCCATCCATTCAGGATTATGATACTTGTACATTAAAAAAAGGGTACATAATGATTGCATAAAATGATGTGGACGAAAAAGATTGAATAGAAATTTTGACTGTGTTTTAAATTGACAAATGACAAATAACATATGACATTATGTAAATTTTAATGTACATGTCGCAAGATCCAAGCAGATTAAATTCTCCTAAGTGGCAATGCAAATGAAGAACTCTTAAGACCGGGAAAAAAAACTAGGACACTCGGACAGTAGTCAAAAACTGCAATTATAAAACAGAGAATCAGTTCATGTTTCCTTTAATGTCTATTTTCTTCTACGATATCAAGTTTGACACAAACGTGAAAATTAAGCTGCACTCAAAAGGAGGCTTGTTATTCCAGTTGCACGTCACAAAATATGCTTAAAAACATCGACTGAAGGTCACAAAGGAAATAAATGCCCAACCGTAGATGCCAGAATCAGGGCTTATCAAGTATATAGTAACACGTGTGACCAAATTTAAAGCATAAAGCAAAATAGAAGTATAAGTTTGTACCACACCACATTCACTTGACTATGCATATCTTGATAACAGATGCGGCTCCAATTCGATGCAACGCCACAACAGCATCGCCTGACTGGCACAGCCCTTTCTTAGTGGCAGATTTCAAGGCAGCTTCCAAGATTTCTTCAGTTGATTCTGCATCAGTTGCTTTTGCAGATCCTTCAGCAAGGATGGGAATCAATCCCCTGTATATCAGACTATGCCTAGCCGGTGTTTCATCGCTGACAGCCCAATCAAATGAATCTGTGGTGAGAACTGGAACAACAACTGATAAAATTGGAACTGCTGGCCTATATTTTGCAACTAACTTCGCCGTAGTCCCACCACGTGTCATCACTACAATGAGTTTAGCTCTAGCCTTGTTTGCAGTGCGCACAGCTGATGATGCCAGAGACTCTAATGGGCTCATTGGGAGTGGGGTGGACCTAATCATCTCCTTGAAGATTGCTCCATAGTCGAGCGAAGACTCTGCTTCGATACAGATTTTAGCCATAACTTTTACAGCAAGCTCGGGATAAGCCCCAGCAGCACTCTCCCCACTTAGCATAACACAATCAGTACCATCCAGGACGGCATTAGCTACATCGGTTGCTTCAGCACGAGTGGGTCTTGGAGACTTAATCATGGATTCAAGCATCTGTGTGGCAGTCACAACAGGCTTGCCAACAAGATTACACTTATATATCATCATTTTCTGTGCCAGGAAAATCTTTTCAACTGGAATTTCCATTCCAAGATCGCCACGCGCAACCATGAATGAATCCGTCTCACGAAGGATTTCATCAAAGTTAACCACTCCCTCCTGATTTTCAACCTTCAAATAAAATCCAACAATCAAATAAATAAATAAGAAACTTAGTAAGGGTACATCCATTTTATCACTTGCCAAAACCGGTCGATCCCCTATGGAAAACTATTAGGAGGAATGAGGAGATATAAAATATTACTAGAAGGATGTGTAACCAATTGGCACAATATGCTAGTCTTTTCTTCCCGTTCTCTTATCCTCCAAAAAAAACATAAATAAAAAATCACCAAAAGAAAATTGGAAAAGAATTTACATACCTTTGACATTAACTGTATACGCTTGGCATGAGGACCAAGAACCTTACGTACGTTAACCAGGTCAGAGCCTTTGCGAACAAATGATAGAGCAATCATATCAATGTTATTAGGAACACCCCATTGCAGGATATCTTCCTTGTCCTTATCTGTAAGTGTAGGAAGATCCACTACCACACCAGGTAAATTGACATTTTTCCTCTCCCCTAGCATAGCAGTATTTTCACAACGGCACCTCACAGTTCCAGAAGCTGGATCACATGACAGAACAGAAAGGGTGATAGTACCATCTGCACAGAGAATAGTATTTCCAGGCTTCAAGTCAATAGCCAACTTCTGGTAGCTCATGGAGATCATTTCTTCATCTCCTTTTATGCTGTAATCAGTGGTCACAGTGATTTCCTGGCCCTCTTTGAGTTGAATAGGTTTTCCATCCTTCAAGAAACCAGTTCGAATCTCAGGTCCCTGCATAAAAAATGACACTGTTCAGCTCCAAGCAGTAACAAAAAGTTGAAAATGACAGTCTACAGTTATCCTGGAAAAAAAGAATATCTGGGGATGGAAGCAATTAAATCAATAAGATTAAGATCAAATCCAAAAATTAGACATCTATCATTCATAAACATGGTATGAAAGGGGCATAACTGACCAAAAGTACGAAACACGTGAAAGTGGAAAATGGTTTTCAGGCAGTTGGTTAATTCTCACACAATCCAAAGGCGAGACAAAATTCAAAATCTTTATGGAAACACTTCAGACCCGTATGATTTGTGTTTCAATTTTTAGTTTGGAGTTTATTTTCAGTTTTCTGTTTTGAGTGTTTGTTTTAAGATTGCTAAAAACGCATTTGATTTGTCAGTCTGAATAAACAGAAAACTAAAAAATATTTTTGATTTTGAATTTTGAAAAATTGTTTTATAACATTTTATTGTATGAAATTTGATTATTCAAAACAATTTTATGTAGTAATATATACATTTAAAGTCGGTAAATCTTACAATATTTTTTATCCGCTGCAAAAGCAAGACAAAAACAAAAAACAAGTTGAGTTGCAAAACATAGGAAATAAAAAATAAAATTAATGACATAGACTAAGAATTTTTTATCTATATTCATTTATATACATTTTTTTAGAATTTTTATGTAAATAATAAAGAGCTTGAACTATTTTTATTTTTTATTTTTCTAGAATTTTTTAGAATTTTAATTTTTCACAATTTATAGTTTTTTTAATTTTTATTAGAATTTATAATTTTTTATTTTTTTCAATTTTATTTATTATAATTTTTTTTTTTTAGAATTTTATGTAAATATTATTTTATTTAAACTCTTATTT